GTTTAGGGTTTAGAGTTTACGGCTTCTATAGGAGGTTCTATACTGGCTTCTGTAAGGGCCTCTATGAGGGTTTCTACAGGGTTTTCGCTCTATACGTATTTGGCTTGCCGTTGCATGTTATCCTGAGAAGTTAATCTCAAATGCCCCACCGGTGCGTTGACTTTCAGCTGCCTCTTCACTGCACTCAGTTTGTCGAGCTCAGCGTTGCAGATGGGAGCAAGGCTCAATCGACCGTGTGCGTCCGATCGACATGACCCTCCAATCTTGCGCAGCTGTTGCCTTGTCTCAATGCCTTGCGGAGGTGGGTGTTACGGTGCTAAGCCCCCATGCCACCATCTTCTCCGAGCATGACAGACAACAGGTGAAGACAGCAAGGGCCCAAGCTGCGCGCCTTTTGCTCTAAGTCCTCTGTTTCAGAAGCGCCTGCGGGTGGGCCCAAGGCTTTCACAACGCAAGAAGCTGGCCCGCACTGGGTTTGTGCCCTGACAGCACATGGAGGTCCAGGAATGCTGCCGTGCGTGCAAACCAAGCTGAGGTATCCAGAACGATGCGCCATCCGCAGCGGAAGTCTTGCTAACCGCTCCTCAGCGAAGCTTGCGCCTCGGTTTGCAGAGTGTGTGGCCATTGTCCCTGGATGCAAGGTTTTGCTGGGTCCCGAAGCCAAAGACTATTCGCAGGTTGCGAAGAAGGCCGTTAACAGGGTTTTCGAAAGGCGTGAGCGAGCCTTGACCATTTGAGCCGAAGCGCGTCGTCTGAATTGTTCCCTTTTGGTGTTCGGCTTTTGAACTTTGTTGGAAGCCCCATGCCCTCGCTTCCCTTTTCTCCTCTTCTCATGCCGTCGCCGGGTGAGGGGCCATGGGATGTCTAAGTTTCCACAGACGGCCAGCCCATGACCACTGGAGCATGGGTCCAACCCTGGTCTGCATCAGGCTCAGGCAGAGATGATGGCCTCTCTCAGACCCAAAAATGCCTTAACAACAAAACCAGGCCAGCAAGGACTGTGAAGCTTTTCGAGTTGTACCATCCGCAACTGCACGCCGGAATTGCACTTTTCCCACGTCAGGACTCCGAATCACGAAACTTGAGTAGCAGAGCTCGAAGGGAACTCAATGGAGGGCTTCTGCCAAGTCTCTTCCGTTGTTCCGATGTACCCGTCCTACGATCCTCGTGGTTCGTGGCAATGCCTGCGCCTCGTATCGCCTGGTTTACTTGTCGGACACGAGTTAGTGACTTCTGATTCTTCTGATGCCATCTTGGCTTTCTGCATCCTAGCGTGTTGTTCTCTGCGGTCCAGCCTTGCTCGAGGGCGCAGAAGCGGGACGAGTAGGCATCGTGAGTCCTACTGTGCCTGCAACTAGAGAAGACTAAAGGCGTTTTTGAGCTGGAAACGACACACAGAGCCAGCGGCATCCAAACTGTCGTGGGAGTTTGCTGAGGGCTGTCTTGTTGTTGTCTCTTCTTTGAGCGCGTTCCTTTCTTCTGCACTTATGACGCGAGCTGGTCCTGCAGCACCATGCCTCATAGCTCATAGCTGATGCAAGTGACGGACTATCAACGCATGGTCTCCGCTTCTCTAAACCCCTGAACCCTAAACCCAAACCCCCAAAAGCCCCCAAAACCCCTAAACCCCTAAACCCCCCAAACCCCCCCTGAACCCCTAAACCCCTAAACCCTAAACACCCAAACCCCTAAAGCCCAAAACCCTGACTGCTTTATGCAGTTTCTTGGGAGGAGCACCTGGAGGAGTCGCAGATTGCGCTTCGAAGAGCAGCTTGAAAGTTACTTTGGGAGGGTTTAGGGTTTAGGGTTTAAGGGGGTTATTTGCCGATTTGGTGAGTGTAGGTTTAGGATTTAGGGCTTCGGGAGGTTCCTTGATATGGAGATACTCGTACTACAAGTTCTGTCTCATATAGAGTCTTCATCAGATTTGCTCCGTTCTTGCATATTTGGCTTTGTGCTTCCAACTCACACCATTTATGTTGAGATGGTCGCGCTCGCCTTGTTGAACTTAGGTAGAAGAATCCTTGCGAAACTACCATAGCAACGTGCTCTACATCAGAGCACGAGAGGAGCGGATGAGGCACGCAGGGACCAAATATTTCAGCTAGACTGTTGTCTTTTCAGTCGCTTTGCCGGGCAGGCAAACCAATGATTCCACCGCGTCCAGAGCAACTTGACAGAAATATGGGGGTTTCCGAAATAGGGGATCCTAATACAGCACCCTGAATAGTAGGATCCTCATGATAAGGACCCCCAAAATAAAGTACCCCTTATTTTCGGAAACTCCCATACCTCCATCCTCGACATGTGCAGTATACTTCGACGGGCCTTGCAGGTTGCAGCTCCTGCATCTGCCGAGGTCATCTTCTTCTGCTTGTTCAATGTTTTCTTGATGTGCCCCGGCGCGTTCTTAGAGTCGTTGAAGTTGGTGAACTGGGCTGCATCCAACATCTGACAAGGATCGGCGTTGGTGGCTGGCAGATGCTGTACTTCAAGCGCTTCTTCCGGTCAAAGAAGATCATCTAACTGGGCCCGCGGGCCAAGCTGCGGAACGGCTGCAGTCTGCGCCGTGCAGCTGGCAGAGGCTCGGTCAACGACGGGATAGTAAACTACCGTGTAACTTCGTGCAATACGGTTTCATACAGTAGACTATAATATAGTATTGTGCCACTTTTTTCGTGGTGGCATGCCTTGAACTTGCCAAGTTACTGGCTCCTGGCCGCACGAGCCATGTGGCAGTATTAGAGAATGAGGGATTGCAAAAAAAGGGCCCCACCCCGATGTATTCACCTCTTATGTGTCTTGACTTCGCCTGCGATGTGCTGCCGCAGGCGTGGCTAGCGGCGAGCGGATGCTGCTGTAGGGACTAATGAGGGCAGCGGAGTTGTAGTTTGCAGACTCAACGGCGTAGTCAAGCCAACGATATCCTAGGCTTTAGTTTTCTATAACACACATAGTGCTTTCTAACTGTTTCCGCTTCTTGCCTTCATGCAGTTGTTCCTGTAGGAACAGCAGGCTGACATCAGCCTGGTGCGAAAAGCCTTGCGACTCGCTGCTGATGTTCAAAAGGGGCAGCTTACCGGGGTGTCACGTTGTTTCTGGAAGCCCAAAACAGTCAGATGGGCGATGGAGGAAGCTTCATCGCTTTTCATGTTGAGGTGCGCTGCCAACTTGCTGCTGGTGCGACTGCTGCAGGCATCGGCACGTGGTTTTCAGCTTGTTCCGAGACCCAGGACCTACTGCTTGTCTGATTGGATGCAGCAGGTGCCCGTAAGCCTCCTTTGTCTTCCGTAGGAACGCTACCAGTAAGGGCAGCTGAAACCCTAAACCCTAAACCCTAATAAACCCTAAACCCTAAATCCTAAACCCTAAACCCTAAACCCCAAACATCAATAGTCGCAACTGGAGACAAGTTGACCAGGCTTTCACAAGCTGAAGGCTCGCAGGGGATCGGTTCGGTGCTTCGCCTTCCATGTAGTCATGAAAGAATTTCATCCAAGCCGGAAGCCATTGGTGTCTGTGCGCGTCAAGAGTGGTGGTGTTGGGTGGGTGGATGCTTCGGCGTGTTTGGAATGGTGCATGCGTACTGGTGCCTGCAATTGGGACCTCTCGCAAAAGTTGATTCCTAGTTTGTACTATACTGTACTATATAACTGCATAGTTTGTTTTGCATTATACTGTTTTTTACTTCACTATATTGGGCTATGCATGCCATGTTATTAACATGCGATGCAGCGTCGTGGTGTCGCTCTGTTTGGGAATTGAGCTTTGGCAGGCGGAGCACCTCAAGCTGTCAAGGGCTGTGGAGCTGGATGCGATGGCCTTGAGGAGGGAGTTGGGTTTGGGGCTTCTCAAGCCTCCATGGATTCTCAACAGTCAGCTGAAATCTTCCGCACGGAGGACCCTGGAGTGGCTGTGCGAAGAGGTGCGAAGTTGGGATTTGCGATGCAGATGCCCAAAGGCAGCTCGCATGGCTTGCAAGCAATGCCAGACCCTCTCCTCCGGAGATCTTCTTCGTGTGAAACACGGTGCCCTTGCCTCGGAACCCTAAACCTTAAACCCTAAATCCTTTTCTATTCCAAAGATGGATCGCTTTCTGCACCTAGGCCTCCCGAGTGCTTCTGAAGGGGTGGAAGCTTGACCTTGGAGCGCGAGGGTCTCAGGAAGTCCCGAAAGTTGTGGCTTCCTTGCGCAGTCATGGTTTAGGGTTTAGGGTTTATGGTTTAGGGTTTATGGTTTAGGGTTTAGGGTTTGGGGTACTGATAGCTTTGGTGAAACAGGCAAGCCTGAGATGCCCTGCCAGAAGCCAGAACTGCTCAGCATGTTCAGGTTGGTGGTGCTGTCCAACTCATGTCGAGCTCATGGTGGAGCTTATCGCAAGATTCCTGGAGCGCCATCGCAAGAGTAGCTTGATCTGCGTTTTAGACACCGTGGTGCTGCCCCGGAGAACGTTTGCCCTGAAGTGCAGTTGAGGCTTGCAGCGGCCAGTCCTTGAGCTGGTAGCCCTCCTCGCGTCACGTCAACACCACGTGCGCTCCTCGAGTCTCAGATATCTGCATGTGGACTTGAAAAGCATCTTAAAGGTAGTGGCTGACGACATCTGAGAACACCAGTCACCAGTCACTAGACCCTACGCCTTGAAGCGTGGCTATCTTTTTCCGAGTCGGGCATTGCGGCAGAGTACATCGGCATCACTGACCTCGGACCTATGCCAACCTGCCGGGCAGCAGAGTTCTTTGACAGGTGTCTAAGTGATTGTGTGCAATTTGAAGCCACTGGGCTACAGATAGTCAACATTGAGGTGATGTTGTGGAGATGTCGAACATGTATCTTCCAGGACAGCCCTGCGCGTTTCCGGATCACCAGACGTTTCCAACATCTTCTAGACAGGCGCCGCTCGGGATCGCGCCAGCGCCGAGGCGGCCTGCAGTGCTGGAGTCAAGGGCCGCCTTAGAATACAGTGCACTTTTCTCCTCTTGGTTTTCTGAGCGCAGGCGCTGTGGGCTCGCTTGGCCAAGTCTGGCGTTGCTCGGATGCCATCCGCACGCGAGGTGGCCTGGCACTCAGCTTTCTTGAGTACGCTTCACCCCAGCATGTCAATTCTAGAAGTCCGTTTGCGTCGCTGCTCAGGAAGCTCCGGTGGTGTACCGGCTGCAGCATCCACGGGGGTCTCGTGACTTAGCAAGTGCACGAAGCAGCCGGCACATGATGTCTGCACAAGCACGCGAGTTTGTGACCAGACACAGCTGTGATCCATGTACTGTTGTGTCCGAGGTGGAATATCCGGTACCATTACGGGCAATTCGCGCACACGGCCAGAAAAGACCGAGATCAAATTCAAACTTAGTGGGTCGTTGCAAGTTCGGGTTTGTGCTCAGCAGCCACCTACAGCTTTACTCATGTCATTGTGAAGCTAAGCTGCTGCTTGCAAACATGCCTAGGTCAAAGATGTACAATGAAATGCGGCTGGCTTGCGAGGCACAGCTGGGATCGTCCGTTCGATACTGCCGCCTGTATTTTGAATCCTGAAGCTTATGCTTCTTCCACAGCTCTCCAGGCTGAATCGCTGCTCCTGAACCCAAAAGCACAAGCCAAAACCCCCTTCTGGGTGTCAAACACCTCGAAGATGACGGGGCTCGCCCGGCACGTTGTGAGGCATTCGTCCCCCAATCGCACTTACTGTGCTTAAACCCCCTGCTTTCTAAGTCCCATCATCCTAAGCCCTGAACCCTATACCCGAAACCCTAAACCGTTTATCCTTCAAGTACAATCCATGTTGCAGGTTGGGAAGAAGCGAGCGCCAGTGCCGAACGATAGCTCGGGCCTTGAAAGAAATCAGACTGAGCAGCAAACAGCAATGATCTACATATAGGATATATAACATGCATGTATACATAATCTATATATCCATATATCTATATATATATATATATATATGTATATGAAAAATTCAGTGCATGCCGAAGATTTTATTTGTATGCGGAAAGTACATAATCAGATAACTATTTCACGAATAACAAATATCGATGATGTAAATGTGTATAGTATGTAAACTTATATATAGGTATGCACACTAAGCGGTTTTTTGGCATCTGCATATGTATTTGCATGCACATACACAAGACATGTAAAGTACGTTAAAAGATATATAGGTATAGTATATATGCATACATTCCTGCATCCATGCATCCCTTCCTCCATCCGTCCATCCATCCATCCATCCGTCCATCCATCCATCCATCCATCCCTCCGTGCATCCATCCATCCATACGTACGTATCTGCATACAGGCATACATGCAGACATACAGGCATACATACAGACATACGTACATACATACATGCATTCATGCATGCATGCACGCCTACATACATACATGCACATGATTGCAAACGAGACCAATATTTTATTATACCAAGAGAGGCTGTGTATACTCGTTGGTTGCAGGTCCAGTCTGGTGCGACAATAGAACACAGCTCTGCGAGAGGACACTGGGCGGGCTGGGGGAGTGCTGATAGTGCCCACGAGATAAGACTCGTCATAACAGTCACGAGCTTAGAGTTTAGGGTTTTTAGGGCCGTAAACCCTAAACCCTAAACTCTAGACCCTAAACCCTAAACCCTAGTAGGGCTTTGGGTTCAGATTCGATCTGGTTTGGCAGCTCCGGTGTGCATGAAGCCCGTATCAGATGCGCGAAGGACATCCTGCCGTCATTGGCCAGCCTGGCATGTTACGGAAGTGTCACCCTAGACCCGAAACATCCCTAAACCCTTTAGCTCTAAAGTGCGAGTCCGTTGAAGCCTTTAAATCTAAAACCCCGTTGAATCGCCAGACCCTGATGCTCGAAGCCTTTTTGGGTTTGACAGGTGGCATGAGGTGCATCCGCTCAAGGCGATGCCCCAGCCATGGGTGGATGACCGCGTCGAGCGACCGCCCGAGCAGAGTGGGGTCTGGGGTTTAGGAAGTATAGGTTTTAGCTTTGTTGAGGGGTTGACAGGAATTCGCGGAGTTAGGATTTTGGGGTTGGGCCGGAGTTCAGGGTTTAGCTGTTGCAGTATTTCCTCTTCTTCCTCCTCCTATATACTGTTGGTTTTACTTTTGAGTTTCTAGGTTTCGGGGTTAAGTTTTTGTCAGGCGTTTGTGGTCGGAGTTTCCGTGCCGTAGGTGTTTTTGGGCCTGAGGGCTTTGCGATTTTTCCTTTGACGTTCGGATGGACTGCAGGTACGACCAGCTGAGAAACCTGTGCACGGCGATTGAGAGGCCCAGGATCAATGCGGAGGTCGGGGCGCTCATAGCGGGCTTAGGGTTTACTTTTATGTTCTGACTTGCCTCCTTTTTTCGTCGGTGGAGGACCTCGATCGTTACCAGAAAACCACAGAGGCGCGGAAGAGGAGTCAAGTGGGCTCTTTGCTAATGCAAGCGAAAGCGCGATGTCAGCTTGGGAGAATCTCTAGCTCCAGCCGTCGCCGTCGGATCTTGCTTCTGCAGGCCCAAGCCCTGCACCTTCGCGAAGAGTTCTGCAGGCAGCTCTGACGCTTCATGGTCGGCAGTGGAGTTGCAGGAGTTGCAAACAGAATGCAATGACGCTCAGCTTGAGCTCCTGCACCAGCCTCCTCATAGTCCGCCGTCGCCCATTGTCGATCCACGCCCTTGTCGCAGAGATGCGACGATCAGTCTGGTTGGGTCTGTGCCCACAGCCCCATATCCAGCGGTGACCAATTCTCGATGGTGCAGTTCCGAAAGAACACAACGGGATTTTGGTCAAGAACGCTGTTGGTTGAGTGGTCATGTACTGGATCTGCTTGTAGCAGCACCCTGCTTGGGATCTTCGGAAGTTCAGAAGAAGCAGCGGCAGAGCAGTTTGGGCAATTCAGCGACTGCCAGGCCAAAGTGGGTTGATGGATACTGTGAGCCAAAGTCACCGCCACGAGTGCATGCACGGTGCACCCTACAGGCGCAGAGTTCGAGCAATGTCAATGCTTCACTTGTCTGGCCGGGAATTCCAGGATGCCATATGCTTGACAGGATGGACAATTCTGCAAAAGGGGCCTCGTGAAAACCGACTCCGCCAGATGCTGAGTGCTCACTTGGGGGCTGCTGGCTCTCAGATCACAATCTGTCTCAGGATGCCGATATTACCTCGGAGTGGGGTGACGCCTTCAAGGCCGAATCCGCTTCAGCTGTCAGAGAGCTGTGGGCGAAAGGGAGATGCGCACGTCAGTCCGACAATGCATTATATTGTGTTTGCTGTTTCGGTCAAGGTTGCCACGTTGCCGTAATGTGCCAGCACAAAGTGTTTCGTGGTCCGTCGAAACTTCTTGTGCCGGGCTTGGCGGGGCTAATCGTCACTTCCTCCCCCAAATACTTGACTCCCTGGCCTGGCGAATGCGGAGGCGGAAATCCCTTCTGGATCAAACTTCCTACTGCGGCGCGAGATTAGCAAGAGTACTGAAAGAGCATGCCAACCCGCTAGCTCGACATGAAGACTCCAGGACCACCGCGGAGTGCTTGAAGAGCAGTCCCGGAGCATTCCTCACCTTGAACAGAAGCGGCTTTCAGATCTCGATCCGCAGCACCAAAAGCGTAGGATCCCGCGACGAGTTCCCGACCACCACTGGCACGTTCAGACTGATATCGACGATTCGGACAATCAGATGCAGACAACTTTAGTTTTTTGTTGCAATGTGCTGCGGTTGGAGCTGCGGAAATCTGTGGAGCCCGGCGAGAGGGGGCTGTGAGAATTTACATACTTCGATCTTTTCAATGCAAAGCCTCCAGGTGTTGACACGCATTTTGGAGATGTTCCCTGCCCAATTATCTTGAGGTGTACTTTGCGTGCACTTTGCTTGTTCCTCAGAAGATGCAGAACATCAGACTGCACAAAGCTCTGTGCGTGTTCGACGAGCTTCAAGCGTCATGCACGTTGTACGTTGGGGCTCCACTGCATCCCAATGACAATCAAAAGTATTTCGATGCAGCTAATAGAGTAAGATTTTCGTGCAGGATGGTCCAATTCCCTCCAAAATGGGATGTCTGCGCTTAAGGATGATGATGTCTTGGGCGTGAGATCATGTGATTCATTCCTTGCCTTAAGTGTGTCACACTGGCAGGAACCGCCCGTCCAGGCACTGGGCTCGTTTCGCATGTTTGGGTGCTGTGTCTGGAGCAACGATGTTCAATGGAATGCGTTCTGTACGGACAAAGGTGGGGCTCATGCCGTGGCTACTGACTTCACAACTGCTGAGCTGTTCCGACAGACATAGAGAGCTCCGCAAGTTTCTGTGAGCAAAAGAGTCATTGCCGACACGTCGGCCGGTGTGGAGCTATGTTGTGCGCGGCTTCAGTCGCAAGACATGTGGCTGCAGCTGGCATGCGAGCAGTTGTATTTCGAAAGCAGTGCGCTGTCCAAGCAGTATTCCGGCCCATCGATCGTAGATCTGGACCGGGGTACTCCGGGTGGTCTCCACAAATGTCCGACGCCCAGCTTCCGAGGCCTCAGTCGGCACCCCTCAGAAGGTCGGAGTGCAGAAGACTGTCGTAGCCTCCCAGGAGCAGCAATGCACATCATGAGTACCGCTATATTGGCCTCAAGGGCTGCTATAAGTGATAATACAGGGTATCATAAACCTGACTATAAAAAGGTTAAAGGTTACTATAAGTGAGAATAAGGGTGACTATAAGGGATACTATAAACCTAACTACAATGGGTTACCATATCCGGATCGCGCAAAGGAAGCCCTTCTTGGCCTTGCTTGCGCTCGCTGCAGGCAGAAGCGATCTGCATGCAGCTTTCCGATTTCCTTGCAGGGTCATGAAAGCAAAGTTTCGAAAGCCCCACGCAGTTCTGCCGGAAGCTGATGGACATCTCGGCTTTCTGGACCGCAGCAGCAAGCTCACCAGGCCGGGCGTGACATCTCTCCGAGTTTTGACAATGTGAGGTGCCCTTGTTGTGCAATCTGCGCGCAGGGAGGTAGCAGAGCCTGCTCCCCCGACTCCAGAATCAGGGCCGCAGGCACCCTGCACTGCGCTTCGAATGGTTGACAACTGCTGAAGCCAAGATCTGCCCGAGGCTTTACCGCCGAAGCCGTGGTTTGGCGCACAGGCACTTAGTAACGTTTCGCTGTCGCAGCGCAGCCCTTTTTCAAAGAGCTTCTCCAGGAATACGTGCTCTTCGTCATCGCACCTGGCTCCGTCTGGCCCCGGTGTGGAGGGTTCGCGTTGGCTCCGAGGCGGGAATGAAGGAATCGAGTCTTCTTTAGCTCAGGCTTTTGTGGCGCTGGCCTTCGTCGTCTTCCTGCGTCACTTCGAGGCGGGTAGCAAACACTTGGCATGACATGATGGCGAGGATAGAAGGGACGCCAAGGGGGACGAAGGGAGGTCGCAGACGAAACCTGTCAGTCAAAACCAGCTCACCGAAAGGCCTCATTGTGCCAGCTTTGCTTGCGTCGTAACGGAGCGGACACTTCCAAATTGGGAATCAGACTTCTTTGGGAAGCCTGGCTGATTTTTGAAGCGAACTACGGACCACGGACATGCCGCAAGAGGCTGTTGCTCTGAACTCAACTTATGAGATGGGGTCAAAATTATCGTACATTGGTTTCCAATCCAGCGGTGGTCAAAGATGGCTAATGCTAGCGGTGACCTGTAAAACGATGGGGGATGCCCTGAAGACGTATCCTCAATGCAGCAATGTTGCCATTACAACCTCGGCTCCTTGTTTCGCTCCAGAGAGGACTTCGAAAGGCTAGACGAATTCCAAACTGTAGCCCCGAGTGGCCTAGAGAGGCCCGTGACCCCGTCTATTCCCTGGACCAGAAGCCCGAAAGCCCCAAAACTGATGACTGCAAACATCTCCAACCTACTCTCTAACTCCCAGAAGCTTAAACCTAAGGCCAAAACCGATTCTCTGCATCACAAAAATGCCCCGCATGTTCTTGATGACTGTGCAACGCCGCGCGCCCATTCGACATGCAAAGCCACGCAAAACGATCCCTAAACTGGCCCTAGACCCCGAAGGTCCCAACCCAATGCCACGCCCAGGCACGCCGCATGTTCTATACCGTATCCCCCTACTCTAAACCAGTGTATCGTTTCTTCCAATACGCCAAAATGCAAACACTGCAAAACGAGAGTGGGGCGCCCTGATCCAAGGACGAAGCTGGCAGGAACAAAGCAACCCGACGTCGGCTCATATAACGTAGCTGGCAGCCAGCACTTTGTGCATCTTCTAGGATGCAGCGTTTTAAAGCCGGTCGAAGCAATCACAAACCGAGGGGCATGCCGTCCAGGCGCAAGCCACGCATTCAAAAAACAGAACTCGGACTTCGAGCGAGGATCTGATGCACCAGCGACATTTGACAGCAAACATGATTGTGCTGTAACCCTGCCTGCCGCCGAACTTGAACGAGGGGGTCTTAAACCACCCGGAACCCATTGTACTTTTTTGGACTGAAACGCCCCTCCGCAAACTGGCATGTGGGGTCAGATTCTGCATTTAGTTCGGGTATGTTTCGGTCTATGTGGCGGAACTCATTGCCCAGAGGCTTTGAGTGGGGAGGCATTTTAGTTTCTGCCACCGGGTCTGAGCAATACCTGATTGACTGCTTTCCGATTCTGGGCAAATCCTGTTGCTAGCGGCTGGCTGTTCATGTCAGTTTCCGCACGTTTCCACCACCGGGTATGAGCACCACTTGATGCGTTTGTTTATAGTTTCCGTATGTTTCCGCCACCGCATCTGCGCATGACCTAGTTTGAAGAAGGCGTAGGCAATGGGCGTCGAGTCGGTGCCGATGTTTCCCTTCCGGATTCTTAGCAGTTCCTGTTGTCAGCGGCTGGTTTATCGAGCTGTACTTATATATATATATATACACACCCTAAGCTTCCTTTGCTTAGGGTTTTGGGGTTTTCAGGCTTAGCTTTCGGGCTCTAAGGATTAGGGCATTAGGATTTAGGGTTCTCGGGCGTAGGGTTCGGGGGTTCTCGGGCTTAGGGTTTAGGGTTGTCGGGCGTGGGCGTCCAGCGTCGGGTTCTATAAGGTTCAGGCTGTCCGGTTCTCACGCCACAGGGTTTCGGGGTCAAAGCTTGGGGTTTCGGGGTTTAGGGCTCAGGGCCTAGGGTTCTCAGACGTAGGGGTTTCGGGTTATGGGGCGTAGCGCTGGGTCAGGGGCTTCTGGGTTTAGGGGTTTAGGGTTTCTGGGTTGCGGGCTTCTGGGCTTGTGGGTTTCGGATTTCGGGGCTGTGTTTCTGGGTTGCGGGCTTCTGGGTTTAGTGGTTTAAGGTTTCTGGGCTCAGGGTTTCTGGGTTTAGAGTTAGAGATCTCTAGTTCCTGGTTTCAGGTTTTTGGGGTTTCTGGGTTTAGGGTCTTGGGTTTAGGGTTGATGGGTTCATGCGTTCCGGGTTCAAGGCTTCTGACTTTGGATTCGGGGTTTCTGGATGTTCAGGGTTTCGGCGTTCACATTCGGACAATCATTATTCAGCCGCCTCAAGACCACAAGTTAGGGGTTTAGAGTTCTTGGGTTTAGGGTTTCTGGGATCAAGGTGTGTGAGTTTGTGGTGCCAGGTCGCATGAGGCCGTGTATGACTGGAGACAGAACTGTGCGCAGCCATTTTAGGTTTTCAGTCTGGGTCGCCAGGATGGGCATGCAAACGATCAGCAGCCCTATCGAAATCAGACATAAAATCTGCTGGTGCATCTTTGCGTCAGACCGCCAAACATCCCAGGATCCAAAGACTATGTTGCCCAGCCATTTTGTTCCCCCGCTTGCCTGTCCCATGGTGACCGTTTGGTGGGGTTACACTCTCACCCGGTGGCGTTACATACCCCCCAACTAAGTTGGTGTGTAACCTGCATGGGTAGTACACAGGGTCATATTGTGTTCAACATGAATGGAATACCGTGCAATTCGATACTGTCCGGTTGGGTCACATGTTCAGACTCTGAGAGAAAGGAGACATTCGGTTAGCGGTGGGGGAGACGGCTTGCGACATCTGCGAGCATTCACGTCCAAATTGAGCAGCGGTGGCTCCGGCCCAGCAAAACTTTGAGCCCGAGCACATGATGCTTGAAACTTCAAACTGAAAGTCTTCGTGAGGCGAGGCAGACACCAAGTGGCGAGGACGGAGGAGACCTTGAGGTACACTGGCACTGGCTCGTTTGCTTGGGACGGTTTAGACAGGCGTCGTGACACTCTTGAGGTTGTTGACCGCGAGCCAGAAGGCCTTGATGAGGACACGGTGAAGTGATATGTTATCTGTAGACATGCCCGACAATTGCAAAGCTCTCAATACGAAGTAACGTCAAGCGGAGTTTTGCTGCATAAGACTGATACAAAGCCTGGACATAAAGGACAATGCCTGGTTAAAAGGTATCATTGTTGTAGTGTTCAGACATATATCACTGAACAATGATATCAGAGTTGGCTTTTCCACAAGCATGCCATTCTTTCGACGAGTTGCGTACTCACTGATACTATTCAGCGTTTTCGTTGGGCTTCATCTGTCGAGGACAGATATACGCACGCACATTCGCTCAGATACACACATGCCCACAAGCTTCTGCTGGCCCTTAACCTGAACTTCCTTGCAACATATTGCCAAGAGCGCGAGAGGACGTTTATGGTGCCGGGATTGCCGCCTTGGTGCGTGACTCTTACAGCATGATCGATGGCAAGGCCGGGCAGCTGCCTACTACCCGCCAAAGGGCACGGAAAGGAAACTTCCAGGGTGCATCGGTTCCTGTCAACGGCAAGTGCACAGACTGCCAGACTGTGCCGGTTTTGGCTTGAAAGTTTATTTCGGAAGTGGTCGCATCATGGCAAAGTGGTCTTGGGCCCCAACCGGATTTGCACTCTTGACAGGGCGATTTTATCCTCCGGTGTTCACGCTTGGCCAGCAGCTTCCTGCTGATGGCATTCGTGGCGCGGCCGGGAAAGCTCCACACAGGGATTTTTTCAGTTAAACGGTTGATCAGCGAACGACTGCAGACGCGACACCCGATGTGGGTGTGCCAACAGATATCAGATGCCTCAACTGAGGTGGTGTTCTTGCAGATTTACTTGATCAAGCAAATGCAGGCCTGTCGTTATCATGAGAAAGATCTTGAGCATCGTCTTTGTTTCACATGCACATTGCGTACTCATTGTGGCTGGGCTCTGTTTGCAAAGGCCCTGGTGGCCAGCCGAGCCGTCACAGAGATCCGCAGTATCTATGGCAGGCCTGATTGCGGCATCTATGCCAATCTATGATGAGTTATGAGCAGCATTTGCTTCCCATTCTCTTGGCAGGTTCAGGGGTGATGTCGGGTTGTCTGGCCGTGCACCAGCAGACCTATTCCTCTTGGCATTTGCTCCTTTGCGCGCCTTCTTGCGCGTTCAGCGTGATGCAAGGATGGACCGCGTCGACTCACGCGCCCTCGCAATCACCAATCCACTCATGTTGTTCCATCAGGTCTGTGATGTGTCCGTCTTCTCCAATCCTGACGAAAGGCCTACGTGTTTGTTCCTCCTTTTGCCGCGCCAATCGATCCTTCGATGATGCGACCGCCGTAGTGATGCTGCATCGCGGTGCAACAGCCGCACCAGTCCTTGACACCGGTGATCCTACGGGTCGTGCACGGTGATTTCCGGACACGCGCTGCAAACACAACCCGGGCCAAAGACAACGTGTCTCTGCCTGGCCGGTTGCGAGGCTGCAGCCTGATGCAGCGGTGCAGGGCCAGTGCAGGGTGATGATGGGGATGTTGCAACCATCGAAGGCTGACAAGCTTTCAGGCACATGAGCACACGAACCGAGCAGGCATGACGCATGTTCCTGCAGAGGGCTGGATTTTCGGCCCTGGTTTGAGACATGAGTCCAGCACCTGCAGCTGCACGCAAGCGTCAGCGGGATGCGGGATGCAGGTATGAGTTCGTGATGTACGGTGCAGATGTTACCCACAACTACTTGACCGGAAATGGTTTCCCTCGTGGCCTCGATGAGAAGTACTTTGATGCGCAACCCAGCTGCATGGCTTTCGGTGGACCACGAGCACTTTCCGATCCCTAAACCCTATACCCTAAACCCTGGACCCATGAGCTTCACACTCGAGGTCAAACTTCGCGCGTCTCACCGGTGATGAGAAAGATTTGGCTTGCAACTCTGCTCATACTTCTTTCGATGGTACTGTTTGGGGTTCAGGGTTTCTGGGCGGTAGACTCACATGTACAGCTTTGGTTCATCTGCTTACCCTGAACCCTGAACCGTAAGCCAAGGTAACATCCCCTTCTCACAGATGCAGATCCTGGTGCCCATCTTATTCATATGGTGTCTTGACAAGCAGCTTCCCAGAAGCCGCGTTTGTAGTTGCCGTAGGTAGTTCTGCATCTGCATGAGATCAGAAGTCCGGTGCGACCGAGGACCTTGACAATTGTCGCAGATCTCCGTCGCTGTGGAGATCTGTTTGTTCGCCTCATTCTGGCCACGCCAACCATTACCTCCATGAAGGTGCCTGTTGGATCATGCCACTCAAAGGTTCTGAGACACAACGCACCACAACAGAGTCAGTAGGGGCTGGTTTCAGGACGCCGTGGTCGAGGGCGATGGGGAGTGCGAAATCATCGTCGGCTTGACGAAAGAAGTCAAGGCCATGCTGCTGTCAACATGCGCCCCGTCCAGCTGAAAGAAAATCTTGCTCTTTGATTCCAAAGCCCTAAACTTCAGAGTTTCGACATCAAACCCTAAGCCCCTAAACCCTAAACCCTAAACCCTAAGCCCGAAACCAGGCTCCCGAGCAGAGTCGGCTAGAACGGCAAGATACGGCAAGGTTTTAGCGTTTGCTTTGGCTCGGTATAACACGGTTTAGGGTTTGGGTTTAGGGTTTAGGGTTTAGGGTTTAGGGTTTAGGGTTTAGGGTCTATCAGGGGCACATAGCTGCGTAGCTTTGCAGACCGAACCCTAGGCCCAGGCCGGAAAACAAGCCCTAGAAGGGCAACCTTCAAACCCCACAAGTATGTCTTATCCTATAATATATCATATACGATCATATACGACCAGGTGTGCTCATATACGATCATATACGGTCATGTACGATCATGTACGATCCTACATGCAAAACGAGGCATGATCCCGCGCTGGATGATTGACGTCTACTTGCTGTGGCTCGGATGCCGCTGGCTTTGTGCCACTCCGAACTTCGGCGACCTGCTCCTCAACTCGGCTACTGAGCTGAAGACCAAACTGCTTGGAGGCTGAACTCGCATTTCGCTTTTTTTTTGGCTGAATCAAATTCGGGTTTCGGGTTTCGGGCTTCGGGTTTGAACAACTGCCCGCTACCACCGTACACTGCCCTGGGTCAAAAAGTGCAGGTCTAGCGATTATTTCAGGATGTTTTCATGCCGTCTCTGATTCGTGAGCAACAGGATGTTTTGGATGTAGCTTCTTCTGCATGCTGGACCAACTGCCAGTCTTGGCCTTTTAAAAACAGGGCATCCCTTCTCTAACGTCTCCTTAAAACTGTTTTCCCTGAGGTGTGAGCGGCCTGTTTGGTTGACATTGCATGCAACCCCACTAGTATCCCTTACTGAAAAGTAAAGAACCCTGATTCCTGATAGTAACCTTTCTAGCACACAGCCGGGTCTCCCTTGAGGCGCCATGTTGCCAGGAGATGCTAGTTTCTGGGTGGGTAATTCTACATGTTGCATGTCCGTTTTAGTTCGCTCTACCAGTCCGTTTATGTTGCTTCACCCGACTTGAAACTTTGGCCTGCGTGGTCCGGCGTTTGAGTGATAGCACGACACGACGAAGCCGGCCAGCTGCTGGGCCTCCCAGACAAGCCAAAAGCACCAAAGGTTTTCAAAGGTGTTGGAGGGTTTCGATTTATGGTGGGGTTGCGAGCCATGAAAGTGCTCATAGTGTGGGTTGTGCTGAATGTTCTGGCGCACGAGTAGATATTCTTGAATTTTGAAGTGTTCGTATGTGCAGGGAGACAGTCACGACATGGAAACAATACTCTTTTGGACGTAGGCTGTTTTTTGCAGAGCAAAACGCGCCGGAGCCCAAACAAGCACTTAGCCACGGCAACGCCAGTCCGCAGTTGTGGCTATGCCGAAGCTGGTATATAGTGGATCTTGGCTTCCTAAACCCTACAGCCGTTTTACCCCCTTACTATGCTCGAAAGTTCCATGTTGAGCAGAGTTTTTCCCTGAGCCCTCAATCCTGAACCCTAAACCCTAGTCATCCGCGGAGAGTCTTTGGGCCCACACCGCCATGAGGTTGCCTTGGAGTTCGTGGTGCTTCTGAAGGACCCTTGTAGTTTTTCACCTTTAGGGTTGCATAGACTTGGGTTTCGGGTTTAGGGAAACCCTAAACCCTGAACCCTAAACCCTGAACACTAAACCCTAAACCGTAAACCCTAAGCCGAAACCCTAAGCCCTTGCAAGGACACGCTCTTCATAGGCCGGCAGCCTCAGAGGTTTTGAGGGAAGCCTGTGACTGTGAGACGATTTTTGTCTCCCTGCTGCCCGAGG